CATCAGGTAAACTACCACCGGACTCGCCACCGGGCACGAAGTGCCCACGATCACTTGTACTTACTATATGTACAATACCTGCTTTTATTGTACCATCAAAACCGTTTTATCAGAAATTATCATGTAAATAAATAAGAAATTACCATTGCAATAAACTTATTTGCCAACTAGACATAATCCTGACAGCTCTGTCCTCTTGTTCACCCTTAATACTGTACAACCCATATTGTACTGCTCCCCCATTATACTTATGTTTTCAATTCCACTGTAATTTATGTATATACTTGTAATAAAAAATAAATAAATAAATAAATAAAATAAATAAATATTGAAGTGATAACCGTGGTAACATTATGAGATGTTCTTATTACCACCATGCTATTGTACTCTTCCAGTTACTAAATGTTACATAATACTTCCTTGAAATAAATGTATAGTATATATCAGGTGCCGCCTAAAAGAGAGCTCAGGTTCTGAACTGGCTCAGCCATGTTAATATTGTTATTATTATCCACTCTGTATCTGACTAAATAAACTGTTTCAATTCAATTATGTCTGGTGCAAGATATGGGATGTTTATATTCAAATTAATCACTATCTTACAAGAATTCCAGCAATGCAAGTAATATTCTCCCAAATGAAGTCAGTGACATTTTATAAGCAAAAAAATAAACCACCTGCCTTTCATAATCCTTGAGTAAGCGTTAATCTTTCCTCCATTTGTTGTGAACTAGGAAGAGGTTGAAGGGTCCACTGGGGGTAAAAGTGACTGTGCCATCCCATCCCCTCACTGTTTGTCGGAGTACTGACTCAATCATGATAGAATAATTTTTATTTCATTAATTAGTACAGATATGTTACTCTAATAATTTAATCTGTGCTTATTAATGCCTGTCCCTCTCATATACAATACAGTATAGTACTATGTATATACCTCATAGGTAAAAAAATCATTCAAGATATATCCAGGTCATAAGACCCACTAATCCTCCACCCAACACCGGGTGACCTGACGTTGCATCAGGTCAGGTTAGTAACGTGACCCAATAATCTCTCACCCAACCTTCATCACAAGTGTTAAAACGTGATTACTAATCACTGATTAGTTATGTATAACAGTCAATTGAGTGAAGTGTCTGCCTATTCTAGGCTGAAGATAACAGGATCTGCTAGTACAATATTTACAGTACACAAGAACACTTGCTAACAGTGCGTAACAGAGACGTGACCGATTGCTCAAGCGACTAATGAGCCGATCAGTGGCGAAGAGGATAAAAGTAACACAGCTCTATTCACACCCCTATCATATAAACTTTTTTTTAATATATTTATTTAACCAAACTTTTAGATAAACTATCCAGGATTATTTTAATAAAAAATGGTGCATCTAACGAAATTAGAACTGATTTTTACTGACTCCGGGAACCTACATTTCCTACTGTTTTTTTTTATACAAGAATAGAATTCCCATCAGTATAACACATAGAAATGCAGTATTTCGTATAAGGATATCTTATTGGAAACGTTTCGTAAAGAATTTAGTAGAGATCATTATGGTATCAAATTCATCTCCTTATCACAATTAGCCACGCTTGAGTGTGGAAGGGGTGGGGAGGGAGGGGCTGACCACACGACCCTACCCCTTCCGTTAACACACCAACACCACCTACACATACACCCCTACATCACACACAAACACAACCTCCAACAAAAACACACAACACACACACCACAACACCGCTCACACACCCCCAGCAAGGGAATTAAGACACATCTGTGTGTGTGTGACTACATGGTAGCGAGTTAAATATCA